CATTGTCGTATTGACCATGAAAGTGTCTTCTTTTATGAAACCATGGAAGTATCTTCATAGTGATTGTAGTAGCACATGGTCACACATTTAGTTAATGAGTCTGATCTTATTATAAATGGGTACCGGAGTTCTCACCATATTATTTTCTTTCAACTTTCCTTTTTAATAGCACACAAAGATAGTTTATAATATGGTGAGAACTCCGGTACCCATTTAAAAAATGGGGGTACCGTACCTACTATTCAATTGATTGGTCCAAATAGGTATATCATTTTTAGTTTAGACTTAAATAATTCAACTGCAACATTCTGATTGGTCCATGTGGACAAATGTATGGTACCTTTTGGGTACCATAGAATCTACCTTATAATATATTACACTTACTTTTAATTGGACTGATTTCAGTCTTAGACCAGATCAATTTAAACTACATCAAATCAGACAAAAACAGAAAAGACCGGATCAGACTTTGACAATTATGAAATACCCATAAAACATACATCTACCAGAGAAGACATCTTCAGATCAAACTAAACCAGACAATATTAAATAGACCAGGTCAGAGAGAAAAATCCTAAGTAGTATTTGCGTTTGATCATACATATATTAATAACTCATTTGTATTTTATAAATGCAATATTAATTACATGACTTTCAACTTTTCTTAAAAATTCATATAAGACAAGTATATACGTATAGACATAATAATTAAGATTATAACCACTACTTAGGAGAAAAATCTCTCTATAGGGATAAAATAAAACAACTGATATAATGTAGCGGTTTTGACGTAAATATTACTAAAAAGTTTGTAATAGACAAAAAGGTGACTTTTTAATTTCTAAAAATGTGACCTTTTTAAAAATGACTAAATTATCCTAGTCTCCGGTGTCTTTATCTGATAGTGACATGATCCACCATAGTGATCACCGACATAGTGACCGTCACCGCGGTGACCATCGCCAATAGGTGACCTTCGCCAGACACAGTGGCACAACGAATCTGCCCACAATGACACAGTGACCCCGGTTACTGTGACGCTGCCACAATGACCCCACCACTGTGTCTAACCACCAGCCCTCAACCTCGATCAGTGGTCAACCCCCAACCTTCATCCTATAACCACCATCCTATCGTAACCCTAGACGCCAGCCAACCACCACCGTGCCGGTGCCTTAATATCATAGCCACACCGCCGCCGCCGCGTGCTGCCTTAAAACCACAAACACACCACGCCCTCCCCCCTCGAATTTAAACCCTAGCAGTCATATATGACACTATATCTTTGTTGCGATGGTGATGGGGGCTGCACGTGGCGGGGGAGGTCGAGCATAGGTTGGGCGGCGTAGGCTTAGGCAACCCTTAGTTTTGAGCGCTCTGCTGTCCTGATCCAAAATTTTAGCGATCAGCACCCGTCAACGACAACCGCCATCTGGCATCCCGAATATACTACCAAGGTTCCTTCGATGATGGTGAGACCCGTTGGACTCCCATCTGCCTCCCCTTTGATCAGACAAAAGTGAAGAAATAGGTGGGTAGGGGAGGGAGATGATAGGGGCAAGGGAGACTATGTTAGCCGGCAATGAGGTCGAAGATGGTGACAAGGTCAACGATGTAGCTGAGGGCAGCGACAACGAGGTTGGTGGCCTCGAGCGTGAAGGAGATCAAGTAAAGGAGAGAGTGCGGCCTAGGATAAGCGAAGTGGATGGGCAGCTCAAAAGATTAGTCATATTTGTATCCAGTGAAACTTTAGACGTAATATTAAGGTCATTCTTTCATTAAATTATACACAATTAATCATATCGGATAATATCCCAAAAATATTTTCAAACTTTATTTAAATATGCAATTATGTAATTTATTAATCACTAAAAGAAGCTAAGCATTCACATTATACAACTTTAGAGTTCACAAAAATACGGTTTACATGTTTTAGAATAAGTCAAAAGACGGAGTCCCAACACTTGACATTACTGATTACTCCAGTGTTTCTCCTATGTAAGCGCTCAATGGCATTGGTTATTAATTTATTATGGTTCACTGTTTGGTCATTTGATAACATAATAATGTTAATTGCAAGGATCACATCCAGGTCGGGATGAAAGCACTCTTAACCTACCATTTTCCCAAAAAACTACATCTAAACAATACATTCACTTAATTAGTGGCACATATATGATGAATGTTACATGTAACCTGTTTGACCGGTGGGCGTAGCTCAACTGGTAGCGAGGGAGTGTCACAAGAGTTAGGTCTCGGGTTCGAATCCCGGCAACTGCGATGAGGGGTTACTATGCTGAAAAATGCACAGGGCTTCTGCAAGTACCGGGGACAGAGCCCCACTCTCTATCTATCAGATTGTGATTATAGTCCAATTTACATCCTCCCATCGTGTCGTCCGGTCGGTGTTGGGGGGCCCTCAGGGATGGGGTGTCATCCTTTTTACTTAATTAGTGGCACATGCCGTTGTAGAACAAAAAGGTGTGAAGGGCATTAATCCGATATAAAAAGTTAGTGATGTTAGAGTTGGTAATAAAAGACTAATTAATATCCCACATAACGTGTCTTATCTTAATGGCTTGTCCTCAGAACTTATGCATGCTTTGGTGCCTTTAATTTGTCTATCCACAAACTATTGTCTTTGTTTTGTTAGTGCTAATATGACAAATTCCTTTAGGGTACGTGCCTAAATAGGTGGGGTGGGATGTTGCCCAAACCTTCTCTCTCATTCATTCTGGAATCATTGTTGAGAGTTGGGCAACTCTAATTTTTAGCGTCATCTCAATTGAATTGATCCACCAATGACAAAAGGCGTGCATCACCGCATGTGCGATGCTTGTGTTTCATTTATTGCATTGTTTCAAGCATTTGTGATTTGTGTTGTAAGAAAATGAATACAAGTATAAAAATATCATTGGTGAAATCTCTCTGTAGACTGAGTAAAGTAGTGATATATGTTAAAAAAATACAAAGCATTTTTTAAATTGAAATAATGATTTACATAATTAAAAATATGGATGACACCTCATTCTGAGGGTCCCCTAGCACCGATGAGACAGTGATAAGAGAAAGTTGTGACTCTTATATGCAATGACTTTTTTTTATTAGAAATACCAATTTATGAAAAAGAAATGGAATTAGAATTGAAAGAGTAGGAGGACTAAACAAGCCTACTCAAATTACAAAGCAACATAAGGGAATTCTCTGGCATCAAATTTCAAGATATGTGTAAACTGAGTAGTTTCAGAGTTGTTGCCTTCACTGGTGTATCGTGCTGCACGGTTGACTGCCTTGTTAAAGACTTTGAGGGGGATGGATTGCCGATTCAAAATTCTTCGAATGTGGGTAATAGTATAAATGTCATCCCAGTATTAAACACACTGCGTCATAATTACTTTAAAATATATATGAGGAAATTGCTATGGGGGACTGAAGCATAGAATTCTTCCAAAAATAGGATTATATCTTTAGTTTTTCTTAACATTACATTTCTACATACTCCTATGATGTGTTTCCTTCGCTGCTAAAGTCATAGTTAAATTAGTAAGACATGTGAAGTAAACACGCAAGTCGCTTAAAAAGCCGCTTAGTAACCGAAAGAGGTGCTCAAAGTGCCGTTTACTAAGCATACTACCCCTCATGTACTAATTAAGCGGCACTTTAAGTTTTTATTCAGTTTTCGAATTTACCCTTACTCTTACCTCTTGCCCTTACACCGTACCCCTACCCTACCTACCCCGAACCCCAACACTCCCTACCCCTACCTCTACCCACTCCCACCCCTACCCCTAACCTACCTTACCTTAGCCCGACCCCTCCCATTAACCCTACCTCTCCCCACCCCCTCCTAACCTACCCTACCTTACCCGACCCCACCCGACCCCCCATCCTACCCCATAACACTACCTCTACCCACCCCTACCTTACCCCAACCTCAACCCCACACCTACCCCACCCTACACATCCTCCCTTAGCCTTACCCCTAACCCCTACCCCTACCATAACCTTTTACCCAATCCCCACCCACCTCTCACCCTACCCCTACCCCTAACCATTACCACCCTACCCCAACCATACCCATTACCCACTCGCACCCCTACCCGTCCTCATACACGTAGCCCTTACCCCCTACATCAACCCACGTACCCCTACCACCTGCCCCTACCTCGACCATACCCCAACCCATGTACCCCTATCCCGCCCTAACCCACCCTACCACTTACTCCTACCCTACCACGGCCATACCCACTATACACTACTTCAACCCCTACCTACCCTAATCCTCACCCTTACCACCACCCTTACCCCTACCCCCTAGGGTAGGGGTACGAGCGAACCTACTATTCAAGGTAGGGGTAAATGTAAGGAAGGATACGGGTACAAGTATGGTAAGGGGGTTAGGTGGCAGGGTGTATGGGTACACTAGTAAGAGGTCTTGGTAGGGGTAAAGGTAGGGAAGGGTAGGGGTCAGGGGAAGGGGAAAGGGGGAAGGGTGTAGGGTAAGGGTTGGGGGGGGGGGGGGGGGGGGTACATGTAGGGGAGTTAGTGGTAGGGTATGGGTACGCGCACGAGGTGGACCCCACTTATTATATTATATATTTATGTATATGAATGTTTGTGTGTCTATATATGTATAGGATTATTTTGGGCATTTAAATGTTAAACGATGTTTTAAATCATTTGAAGTAAACATGAGGTTACAACACTGCTTATTTTATGCGCCACTTATTAATGCGAGTCTTAATAAGCACCGTTTAGTAACATGTGAATTAAACGTGTCCCTAGTCTCCTAATTTAATTAATTAATATAATTAACTACTCTCATAGTTTCCTTGCATAATCACAGTTAGTCCTTCATGGCAGATTAGTCTAGTGGTGATGACAGAGAACTCTGGCGATAGCCAAGGGCGGATGAAGTAAGCCTAGACGGGGGCAACTGCCCCCAATAAAGGCCCACTAAACCCTTCTAATTTGTTAATAAATATTAAAAGCCCAAGTATTTGCGCCCAATTAAAAAATGGCTTGCCCCCAAGATCTTCCAGCCCGCTCCAATGATGAAAAGAGGACGACGGAAGATGAATGAGGCAGCCAAATTCTCTTGAGTGCAGAAGGCAAATCATCTGAGCCTGATTCCATCTCTTCATTCTCCGACCTCCGTGGCTCCGTTCTCTATTTCTCCAAGCAGCATGAGTGGAGAGGTAAGCCTTTTCACTTGATTGGCTATTTGGCTTTAATGGCTTTCAACTTTTTCACTTTATTTTTCCATCTTTTATCAATTAGAGATGTTAGATTTGGAGTGTTGCCTACTTTGTGTATTGTGTAGTTAAATTTTTATTTTTTATATACATATTAAATACTGTTATTTCACTAATTATAGTGTTATTAATTTATTTAGGGGTAATTTGAGTTTGCACCTCATTTTATTGTCCAAATTGGACTTTGCACCCTGTTTTTAAAAGTCTTTGTTTTTGCACCCCAAGCTCGCATGAAAAGACAATAATGCCCCTCCATTAACAATTATATTGATCTTCAACATATTCCTGATCAAGGGGCATACTGTTATTTCACTAATTATAGTGTTATTAATTTATTTAGGAGTAATTTGAGTTTGCACCCCATTTTATTGTCCAAATTGGACTTTGCACCCTGTTTTAAAAATCTTTGTTTTTGCACCCCAAGCTCGCATGAAAAGACAATAATGCCCCTCCATTAACAATTATATTGATCTTCAACATATTCCTGATCAAGGGGCATACTGTTATTTCACTAATTATAGTGTTATTAATTTATTTAGGGGTAATTTGAGTTTGCACCCCATTTTATTGTCCAAATTGGACTTTGCACCCTGTTTTTAAAAGTCTTTGTTTTTGCACCCCAAGCTCGCATGAAAAGACAATAATGCCCCTCCATTAACAATTATATTGATCTTCAACATATTCCTGATCAAGGAGCATTTTTGTCTTTTCATACTAGGGTGGGGTGCAAAAACAAAGTTTTTTAAAAACGGGGTGCAAAATCCAATTTGGACGATGAAATGGGGTGCAAACTCAAATTACCCCATTTATTTACATCAATTAGATTAAATATTGTAGAAGGTTCAATTAGATTTAATTTCATTGATGAGTTACTGAAATTGTTATACATCTATTAGTGTAATGTTTTATACTATTAGATAGTAGAAACCCTAAATCTAAATTATATACTCCATTCGTCCCATTTAAAGGTTCTCGTGACAAAATGACACAATTATTAAGACAATAATTAAATATGCGAATTTAAGTATATTTTGAGAAATAATTTTGATGAGTATATAATATAATGGGTTATTGATGATAACTGTGATTTTATAAATATTTTTTTTAGTATTTGATGATTAAATTGTCATTTAAGAGTGTTAATTGTTTCCTAAAATAGAAAGTGAGAACCTCTAAGTGGGACGACAAAAAAGGAAAGTGGGAACATTTAAATGGGACGGAGGGAGTATTATTTTAGGTAGTTATATAAAATGTATTAAATTATTAATGTATTAAAACAGTTATTTTTAATTTAACTTCTTTTCCATACTCAATGAAGAGATATTGGGCTACCATTCCTTCACCGGGTATTTCAAATAATAATGCTTCAAATATTGCATCTCAATGTTCTTCATCAACACCTAAACAAGTTGATTTGGATGAGCTTCCTTCAGATTCCGGAAGTAGAAGGAAAATTTCAAAGTACCATCCTAATCAAATAGACGAAATCAGGAGCAAATATTTGATTAAAGGACCTTGTCAACCATGTGGTAATGACTTCCCACAAATAGAGATTGGGAGACTTTAAGACGCTTTCACTCTAAATGGTTTGATCAATATCCTAATTGGTTAGAATATAGTATAAAAGATGACAAAGCATTTTGTTTGACTTGTTACTTGTTTAGAGATCACTTTGAAAATCATGCTGGGAATGATGCATTTGCAACTGAAGGGTTCTCAAGTTGGAATAAAACGGAGCGATTAGCTTCTTATGTGGGTAATATAAAGCGTTTCCACAATAAGGCACATATGAAATGTGATGATTTAATGAATCAAGACCAGTCAATTGATGTTGCTTTGCACAGACAAAATGAAATTGTGAAGAATGAATATTGGATTCGTTTGAATGCTTCTATTGATTTTCAAGAATTTTATTGCATCAAAGACTGCCTTATCGTGGTCATGATGAATCTGAAGAGTCTAACAATAGAGGCAATATTCTGGAACTAATAAAGTATACTGCTAGTCAAAATGATGTTGTGACTAAGGTTGTATTGAAAAATGCTTCAGGAAACAATCAAGTAGTTGCTCCTATCATTCAAAAAGACATTGCTAATTGTTTTGCACAGAAAGTTGCTCATTCTGTGCTTAAGGAGATAGGTGATGATATGCTTAGTTTGTTGCTTGATGAGTCTAGTGATGTGTCTTACAAGGAGCAATTGGCTGTGGTTTTGAGGTATGTTGATCGGTGTCGCATAGTTAAAGAAAGATTTATTGGTGTTGTTCATGTGAAGGATACATCTTCTCTTTCTCTTAAAGTTGCTATTGATTCTATATTTTCTGAATATAGCCTGAGTTTGAAAAATGTTAGAGGCCAAGGGTATGACGGTGCAAGCAATATGCAAGGTGAGTTCAATGGGTTAAGAGTTTTAATCATGAAAGAAAGTAGCACGTCTTACTATATCCATTGTTTTCCTCATCTACAATTAGTTGTTGTGGCAGTCTCAAAGAAACACTTTGATGTTGGTGTTTTTTTGAAATGATATCTCTTTTATTAAATGTGGTTATAGCTTCTTGCAAAAGAAGAGATATGATTCGAGAAAGTCATCAAGAAAAAGTGAAAGAAGCTATAAGTAATGGAGAAATTAGCACCGGAACAGGATTAAATCATGAGCTTTCCCTTCAAAGACCGGGAAATACACGTTATGGCTCCCATTATAGAACACTTCTCAATTGATTGAACTGTTTCCATCAGTTGTTCAAGTCCTTGAGTACATTGAAGTGGAGGTCCTAGACACTGTGAAAAGACGCCAGGCTAATGGTCTTCTAACATATTTTCAATCATTTAAATTTGTGTTTTATTTTCAGTTGATGTTGTTTATCTTGGGACTCGCACATTCTTTGTCAGTGACTCTTCAAAAGAAAGATCAAGACATATTGAATCATGTTTCACTTGTGAAAACAACAAAGCAACAATTGCTTAAGGTAAGAGTTGATGGATGGGATTCTCATTTGAGGAAGATCTTAGAATTTTGTGAGAAGCATGAAATTTCTATGCTTAATATGGATGAGGACTTTGTTAACCCAAGGAGGCCACGACAAAGAACTAATATCACTAATTGGCATCATTATGAGTATGAATGTTTTAATACCATTATGAATCTGCAAATTAATGAATTTGATGACCGCTTCAATGAGGTACATTCGATCTGAACTACTTCTTTGCATGGCTTCTTTGACTCCGATTGATCCCTTCCGTGAGTTTGATGCTTGAAAATTGTTGAGATTGGCTGAATTTTATCCAAGTGACTTCAGTTGTGTGGAACACAGAACTCTTCAGAATCACGTCAACATTTATAATAACAATATGTTAGCGGATGAAAGGTTTGCTAGATTGAAAAGTCTTGGTGATCTTGCTCGAGTGATGGTGGATACAAGGAAACATCTTTCACATCCTTCGATGTATATGCTTTTAAAGCTAGCATTGAATTTGCTAGTTGCCACAACAACCGAAGAGAGATGTTTTTCCGCTATGAAAATAGTGAAGACTAATATGCGTAATAGACTTGGCGATAAGTATTTGAGTGATTGTTGATTTGTGTTATTGAAAGAGATGCATGTGTTTGAAACTGTTACAAATGAAACTGTGTTTGATCTCTTCCAAAAAAATGAAAACTCGGCGCGAACAATTGTGAAGTATTTGGTAAGAGTTTAATTATTGTAATATTACATTATTACTTTGTTATTATTTTTCCGATGCTTTCCACCCCAATAAGTTCTAATCCTGGATCCGCCACTGACGATAGCAATGACAAAATCTGTAGTGTTGACCTAATGACAGATCGGCGGCGGGGTGGGGGCAACAATGCTCTAACCCTATGAGGGTACTTTTTTTTATATAAATCACAAATAAACAACCTTATTTATGAGATTTTAAATATTAGGTCTTATTTTGAGAAAATAATAAACCTCCCAATATATTTTACTTGAAACATTAAACCATGGCATTAGAGCATGGCATTAGATCCCACTAACTTTGTCACTTTCCTTTTTAAGCAAAGAATTTGTGGTTCCCGTTAATTCTGTTTCTTCTGCACAAACTTCAACCACACAGTTTTTGCTTTATTAATCTCCATGTCAATTAAACTTGGTCAAGTTTTAAGGGACCCAGGGACACTACTACATAACTAACACACGTATATCCAAATAAAAATTCATTTGGAGCCAAATGAAGTGAAAATTGTTGTCATTATTAATGAAGCATTACTACCTCCGTCCCATTTTTTTTTTTCATTTTCATAATTTTGACCAACTATATCTTTTTATTAGAAGTTATTTATAATATAAAGTTATATGAAAATGTTCTTTGTTAAAAATACTTTCATAAAAAAACCGTATATTTGTGAATCTTGGTTAGTACCCTTGTTTTGTGTCAACAAAATCTATGCATAAGAAGTTGTACATCACCTTTAGAAAGTTGTTCTCTCCTTTAGCTTTCCTTAATCACCCTTACGGAATTGTTGCTTCTTCCGTTAGTTCAAAAACAAGGCTAACGTAAATGCATATACATATGCATTTCATATTCTATGAATACGTATAGGAGGATGAAATATATAGTCTTCTAGAACTAAAAATACAAATGCATATAATTACTCTTTTCATATAATTAGTATATATGATAAACTTTATTTAGTATATATTCTTAATCTTACATTAAGTATCACATAATCTTTATGTTATATTAATTTACAAAAATATTAATTTTTTTCCTTTATTTAATACTCCTCGTCCCACTATAGTTGTCGCATTTTTCCTTTTCTGCCAGTCCCACTAAGTTTGTCCCGTACAATAATTGGTAATATCGATCTGTGGGGTTCTAAATCATTCTTACATTATTCCCACTTTATCAATTCATTATCAACCACAAAACTTCAAAAAACCTTATATTTGTGAATCTTGGTTAGTACCCTTGTTTTGTTTCAACAAAATCTATGCATATGAAGCTGTACATCACCTTTAGAAAATTGTTCTCTCCTTTAGCCTTCCTTAATCACCCTTACACATACAAGTGTTGTACTCACTCCGTCCCGAAAAGGTTCGCCAAATTGACTTTTCTTGGTCAATGACAGTCAACTTCAACCAATGATATTTTTTGATACGAAATTATTTTGAATATGTAAAATATATCAAAACGTTCTTTATTCAAAATATTTTCATAAAAGTATAAAATTTATATATAAATATAATAATTAAAATCATTGTTCAAAGTTTGCCATCATTGACCAAGAAAAGTCAATATGGCAAACCTTTCCAGGACGGAGATAGTATCACATTAACTTCAAAAGATGACATTATAATCATATTGGGCACATGAATTCGCGCCTTGCGCGAGCAGAATGCTAGTAAAAGTACAAAAGTTATAACTTTAATAATATTATACTAATCAAAATTAATGTTCAAATTTTTTTAATTGGCATTTTTTTTTGATGGAGGTACTATTAATTACGAGTATTCAATAAATAATAATAATATAATAAATGATTAAGTGCAAGTCTAATTAATAGTTGTAAGTTGCAAATAAATAAAACATTAGAAATTGAGGACAAGACAATAAGTATAATTAAATTATTGGAAAAACATTATAAGTATGTACATGCAGAATTAATTAAGAGACATGACACAATAATGTTAGAAAAAAAATAAAAATATTCTAATTTTAAAATATAAAATAATATCACATTATATTCAAGCACTATTAGTCGAACTACAAACATTGTATAAAGTTCAATGATAATAATTGGTACTGATAAGTCCGTATTTAGACACGCATTTGATGCGTGTCCGGGTCGGATTTTGATGGTTTTCCTGGCTTTAAGGCGTTGCAAGTCTCAATTTTGGCTCAAGTTGTATTTAGCAGGCGTTGGATCGAGTTTCATTGCATTTGGAGTTGATTTGAAGAAGTTAGAGTCCGACAATCGGCGCTTGAGAAGCAATCGGACAGAGTTTGGAAGCATTCGAAGAAGATTTGAGAGATTTGGAGGTCACCGGGGGATTCACGACGAAATTCTGATGAAGAAAGAGCATTTGGATCGACCTCGTAGACATCCGGGAGCGTTTGGAGCGAGAAAACGAAGAAAAAGTGAAGAATAAGGTCAGGCACGGTCGTGCCTGGAGTTAGGCACGCCGTGCCTGAAGTGAAATATTCCTGGGAGCTACTGGAGGCCAGGCACGGTCGTGCCTGGCAGCTAGGCACGCCGTGCCTGGCATTTTTCGAAGAACCGAGCTACTGGAGGCCAGGCACGGTCGTGCCTGGCAGCTAGGCACGCCGTGCCTGGACGCGAAATTCGGCCTTCTTCCGTAGGCACGGTCGCAGGCACGGTCGTGCCTGGCACCGTGCCTGGCCGCGATCTGTCCTAATTCGACCCGAAATCATTGTTTTCTATAAATAAGGCCTCCATACCCCGTTTTGGGGGTGACGAACTTTGGAGAGAGGCCTAGGGACGAATTTATCTGCGTTTTTTACGTTGTTTAATCCAAGAACCTGGGATTCTTTGTAAGTTCAATTCTTTAATTAATGACAATTATTTCTATTCATCCCAATTCTTTTGATTCGTCAATTATGAGGCGTGAGTAGTTTAATTAGGGATTTGGGGTTGATGAAGGGGTTAATCATGATGTATGGCTAGATTCTTGTCGGTTTAATTGCATGAATGCCGTTTAATTTGTGTTTGAATAATTTAATTGATATCTCTTGTAACCTAGACTGCAGCTAGAATTACAATTGCATGTAGAATAAATTAAGAGAGATCTAATTTGTTCTAGGACACATTCACACACACTTAATCGTTCGCTAAGAGATTAGTAGCGATTAAGGGGCCGTAAGCTCGCTCGTCTTGACAATAATTTAGGATCCTGTCGCATGAGAGATCAGCCTGGTCCCCTAAATTATTGTACTCTACGCCGCGAGAGCGGTAAGAACTTAGTAATGATTAGCTAGGCTCAATTAAATTAAATTCATGTGATTAGGCCTGTTCTGCCAGAAATCTGGTTAACCCCGGAGTCAATTCCTGTTCCCTTCGTCGTTAATTAAGGAAAACCAAATCTTTTTATTCGCTCATTAGCATTAGTTTTAGTTTAATCAATCCATCAATCTCGCACAATTGCACTTTTATTTTATTTATTTCTTTTTAATCGCTAAAGTTTAATTAATCTTTATTTCCCTTTTGTCCGTCCCTGTGGAGACGATACTCGTACTTTACACCATTTTACTACATCCTTTTTAAGTGCGAGAAAACACACATCAGGTACCACATAAAACTTTGTCATAATTAACTTTAATTCGGAACATGAAGTAAAAACTCTATGGTTGAAATATATATTTGTGCAGAGGAGAGAAAAACAACTGCAACCACATATTTATTACTTTAAATGGATAGTAATTTATATTGATAATCAACTACAAAATAAAACAACAAAAATACATTAATTTAGTTCAACTATATATATCAATGAGTAAATAAGTAATTTTTTTTTTAAAAATCATTCATTATTAAATATACACAAAAGGTGAGGTATCTTGGAGTTACCGTAGAATTTACCTTATAAAAACGGAGATATTTGAAATATGTATTTTCTTATAATACTTTGTGATGTTTTGATAATGTAATTTTTAAGAATATTTATGAAAGCAAAAATATACTACGTAATAAAACCTCATAAATACATAGAAAAAGTATAAGTTCACATCTTCTTAAGTAATAATATGATTAGTTTCGTTTATGAAAAAAATAGTGTGATTAATATATATTGATTCTAAACCATCTAGCTACTCCATATATAAATACTAGCCCTACGATTTATATATGCTTATATTTATCTTTAATATGTCTGTAGTCCTTATAACGCAAATAGTGAGATGGGTGAAGAGAGATAATATAGAATAAACACTTCAACTTCTGGATGGAACTTATTTAGAAACTTTAAAGTACAACCAGCTTCAAGGTTAGACACATTTAGTATTCATAAAAAGTGAAATGGTTTTCATAATAATTACATATATGAACCTGAAAGATAGTAAAAGCTAATGTATAGAATAACAATCATACATGTGTATTTTTTTTGCGAAGTATTAATTAGTGTATCTCTAACAACACTCTAATATAATAATTATCATGTTTTAATTTTATACAATACGTATGTATCCGTCAAATAATTTTTGCACATGAAATTAATTACGGGGTTTCTTGATCCCCCTAACAAGTTGTCAAAGGGCGTTCGCGAATGGGGTGATGGAAGTGGTGGAGACTATACATTTTTTTAAGCCCCAACCACCTAGCAATATATTTTCATATATTGGGAGGTGGCATATTTTTTTACTTCTAAATAACTTATACATCATCTGATGATTATGGAAAACTTGTCTACATGTCCTTAATATGTTTGATCTTTTTATTATTTTAATTGAGTTTGGTTCATTTTTGTGTCTTCCTGCCAACTATGGGGTTACTTTGCAGCATGAAACTGATACAAAACAAATTTTAATAAATAATTACATAAACCAAAACAAGTTTAAGCATGTGATGACAATCACACTAGTTTCAATTTTTGTTTCAAAACAACTATGGGACTCAAGGGACATGATTAGTTATTTTGTTTCAATTTTTGTTTTTTTTTTGCATGGAATGGAATCTAATGGGGAAAGGATTGAGGAAACATAAAGACAACAAACATTAAAGTTGAAAGTACGAGGAATTGGATATCACTACACAAAGTGACTAGTCAAATCATCTACTCAACGATAGGTCATATTAATGGACATTATACCTTATGTAACCAAGCAAGAGTGCATGGTGTGTGTAGGATGGATTAGGGGTGGGCAAACGGGTCTTGGAACCGCGGTCCGGTCCGGGTAATGGCGGTTCGGGTCCAAAACGGGCCGGTTCCATTTTTTGTTGCCATAAAACGGTCCGGGTAGGTTCGGGTAATTTTTTTAAGGACCCGGGCCGGTTCCAAAATAAAAAAATACCGGGTACCCGGCCCGGCCCGTTATATATATATTGTATATTAATTTATTAATAGTTTTGTGATAATCAGTTTTGAAATAGTTTTGTTTTCCTTTGCTAGAAGTAGGATTTCAAATTGAGTTGCAGTAACATCATTTTGCTTTCAAATTATTGATTAAATTTTACATTAATTTCTTATTACTTTTTATTGTTATTGAATTATTCCTTTCTATGGAATTTAATTATTTGTTAAAAACGATTTTGTAATACTCCGTATTTGTTTTTATAGTATTGTTCTTAAAGTATATAAATTGTGATTACCACTCCCATGTATGTGTCAATTTTGGCTAATACTGAAAATTTAATAAAAAAACACAATCACCTTAATATGTGATGTTAGACAACATTTTTAAATTCAAATGTTAGAAAATATGTATTTTGGCTATGTTGCTGACTTTTGGAACTTCTTTAATTGTTTAGAACTTATATACATGAAATTATGGAGTATTGGACTTGTCAATTGTGTTACATGTGCATCACTATGTTGTTATTTTGAAACTTGCTAATGTACTATATTATTGATTATTGATTTTTGGAACTTTGTGAGTTTTTACTAATTTTAAGACATGGGAATAGAAACCGTAAAACCCAGACCGGACCGACCCGTTTCAAACGGGCCGGGTAAGGTCCGGTTCCTATTTTGAAAGTTGCAATGCCCGGACCGCACCGGACCGTACAATGGAACCGGCGGTTCCATTTTATTTTGCATTACCCGCCCCGACCCGGCCCGGCCCGGCCCGTGCCCAGCCCTAGGATGGATTCTTGAGAAAAAATAAACTTGTATAAAGTGCTCCATGAATTAAGTACGTACTTAGCCAGGCGGTTGAAAATATATGGAGTGATAAATAGTTCATGATAAGAGTAATATCTACTATTGTAGTAATAAATTGAAATATCTTAAGTGGTACGGTAATCCATTTTTTATTAAATTGCTATCAAGTATAATCATTTAAATTTTACATTTTTTGATCGGGGGAATTTAACTTTGCACTCCATATTTTGGGCGATATTAGACTTTACAATTCGTTTTCATAATTATCAATATTTCCCCTTCATCAACCCAAAAATGTGAAAGAGTAGACTATATATATTTTCACTAATAAGAACCCTTCACTAATATAAGACTTTGAAAACATAGTAAAAATATATAGGACTAAAATCATTAATATGATTTGAAAATTTAGTCCTACACACATTAAATTGTATTTCTATATATATTTCCATTTTCAGAATCATCTAAAGTAATTTATTTTAGTCCAATATACATTTTTGAACTTTATGTATATTTTAACCTTATATTGAGAGATTTTTACACACACGCACGCATATCACCCATCTTCTTATCATAATATAACAAAAACTAATAAAACATATTACTCTTCCAAACCCGATCTATTTGAAAAGGATGACATATTAATCTGATTGTACTAAATCGGGTTCGGAAGAGTAATATGTATATTATAGTATGATCAAAATCTCACCATAAAAGTCGAGTTTTATATAAATCTCCAAAATATCACCTAATAATACGACATATTTATTAAAAGTTAAGTTAGATTTAATTTCATATATATAACTTATTTTATAAAAAGCACTTTCCAGCTTTGGCTTTAAAAAAACACTTATTTTCCCAAACACTACAACTTTTATTTTTCTCGGCTTCCGCGTCAAAAGTGCTTTTACTTTTTCTATTACACAAAAAGCACTTATTTTACCAAACACTACCCACTTTTACTTTTCAAAATCACTTTTTTCTCAAACACTATCAACTTTTATTTAATCACTTCTCCCCATTTCATTAAAAAAGCACTTTTTTAAAAGCAGAAGCTGTTGCAAACAGACCCTTAATTGCTCTTGTTATTTTATTATTATGTTAAGATTACTGATAGAGTATATGGGCCTGGACCCCATGGCCCACATACTCAAGTCAACGATGACCAGAAGAACACCCGTGTGGCCCCTTTCGGCCAGTGGGTCCGCATCGGCCAGAAACCAAACTGGCCCAGGAAGCACGTAAGGACTCCCGGGGCCGCATCGGCTCATGGACCGCATCGGCCATGAGACCGCATCGGCCAAAAGGCACCGCATCGGCCCGGTTTCGTCCGGGCAGAATGCATCTCTCTACTTTATTTACTAAGTATTGTACACAGCCCATTAGTGGCCCTATTTCGCCCAAAGAAGGCATAATTATTGTAATGGGCCTCCTAAGCCCATGGCTAGGAGCCCAAATCCACATTTTTACCTATAAATAGACCCCAAGGGGCTCTTTATAGGGGGTGGAGAAATATAATTACTCACTTTCTCTCTCTAGCTCTCACTTCTCTCTAGAATTAATACTCTATCAATTACATATGTCAAAATTAGCCAAATCTGGTAGATTCTATATTCCTATCTCATTCATGCTGTATTTAATAACTTTAATTACCTAACTTACTTTTCTTTTTAAATCCCCATAATGCCCTTATTTTGGGCGGGATTTTTCCCTCTATTTGTTGTGCAAAGACTGTTACTTTATATTATATAAAGATATCCCTTATTACTTGTGAAGTGGATGGGAGTATTTTGATTGAAATTTATTTCTAAAGTTGCATGCTAATCCCATTAAATTTTTATTGATTCCATTTTTCACACCTATCCACTTTTAAAACTACAAATAACATTTTTTCCATTAATACTTTTACTATGTGAACAAACAAATTGTAACATTTTAGCCAAGTATCCATGTTAATTTTTTAAGTTTGGATTCACTTATAATCAAGTCCGGATCATCATGATGAGTTTTACAATAGTTTTTATTCTTTAGTGCTAAAAAAAGATCCAACTAAAAGTCTCGTTAATTTTTTTTTTTATAAATTAATCAACTTTTCAAAGAAATCTCTAATTTAGCGAAATGAGGATCCAACAAAAAGTCAAAATAATAAACAAACTCCAATGACGGAAACCAGGGGTTTTGTCAAAAATAAGACTAAAGTAAAACTCAAGGACAAAAATTCGACCATATTTAAAAATTTCCAAAAAAAGACTAATAGAACATTTATGCCCTCATTCCAGCCTACAGTTATAGTTACCAGCTCAAATCAATTACAGTTACCTGATCCAATCAGTTATAATTACCCGACTCGATCAATTACAGTTATCTGAGCCGATGGGTCACAGTTACCAAATTCATTTAATTATGGTTATCCGACTCAACCAGTTACAGTTACCCGACCCTGACTACAGGTTTCCAATCAAATAGTGGCCACCGCTACCAATGTTCACTGCGGCCGGCAATAACGCCGACGGCATCAACAGTGACCACTAGCGCCGACCACCATTGCCGGTGACCTGCCATGGCTCCTTTCTAGAAGTCAACTCACCAATCCCCTATCCGGCCTCCCCCAGCCACATCCCAAGCACCAACACTCCCTGTCCAGCCCCCCACCCCCGTCGCCACAGGCCTCCAACTGCCGCACCTCGCCCCAATATCTTCCGCCCTTGTCCGCTGCTACCGCCTCAACACCGCCCAATGTAATTCCGACCACCGCCACCGTCAACTATCCCTTCCTCAACCTCCATCCTTGCACATTCGTCTTCCCTAGCCCCTTCCCCGACCTCTGTCATTGCCCATCCATCTTCCCTATCCCCGTCTCCAAAACTTCCCCAACATCAACTCAATTTAAGATCTGTGCAATAAATTGAAACTCGTAGCCATAGCTGAGAAGTAAGGAGAAGAGGAGAGAGTTTGCAAAGGCGGTGTAGCAGATGCGGTGCGGAAAGATGACAACGGTGACGACATCGGATCAGGTGGTGACAACGTATCTCTTAGCGACGGCGACGATTGGTGCGTCATTGCTAAGCTAACCGGCGAAGGGACAAGTGCCTGCCAAGAGTGAAGAAAGAGCCAGACACCATGGAGCTGAACTGCTGAAGAGGAAAGGGGGAATGTCGATCGGAAAGGTAGCGGAAGGAATGTTAGGATTGTTCCGGGCCATTCAAGTTTAATTGATCGCATTTTTGTCCAAATTGAGATTAGGTCCTATATCCAATGTTCTAAAAGGCGTGAGGCGTGACAAGGCGTCGAGGCCGAGCCTCAAGCCTTTGAAGCCTAGGCGGGAATAGGCGAGGCCCAGGCTTAAAAAGGCGTTTTAGGTTTTTATTGATAATTACTATATTTTATAGTGATATATGAAGAAAATAAATAAATATCCAAAATATATTATTCAAGATTAAGCATAATTTTTTTTATTCAATATATGTAATTTGTAAATGTATACAAAGTGAAAATACAAAGTGATATATTATTTGTTTTTACTACTCCATATTAGATTCCTTATATAATCAGCGTTCTAAATAACACGAGGAGTACATAGTAACTATTAATGATTACAATAATTAATAGTTAACTATGATTTGCATTGTTGTAACTAAATGTAAATTACTATGATTTGAACTTTGAACACAATTGTAATCACTGATAATTACTAAGTCATGTATTTGTCCATGACATTTTTATTAGCTATATTTTAGGAAAACTCCCTATAAATATAATATTAGAAAATATTTGTATAACATCATGATGCACATATATTTGATGCACATAGCATACAAAATTATAGATTTCTAAAAACGGCACGTATTTGATGCACATAGCATACAAAGTCTAAGAATTGGTAAAAATAGTGGATGACAATATTGTCAATACATAATAATAAAAATATCAATTACTAGCTATACAATAATGATCTTATAATGATAGTAATAATAATTATGTAATAATCGTAACTATTATAGTGCATATATATAATACAATAAGAATATAATACTTCGTAATAGCAATAATGATTGTATGTTTTAGAGCAAATTATTGAATTGTGGTGAACAATATTCCTAATAGACTAATACGTGAATTAGGGTGCGGAATATATAAAATACCAAGAACTTCAAAAGTTCAAAATACGGGAATTGCTTGTCCCACACCGGAAGGGGAGAGAGCATTTCACCTCCTAACGCTCTATATAATAGACGTGCCTTTTGGATTCAAACATGTGAATAAGCTTTAGCGGTTTAAAGTATGTTCCCGTGTATAGTTAGTTTGCGGCTATATCTTGGGGTTATAAAATACAGTTAAGACTTATAAATCGTGTAGGCCAGCACGCCTTTTGTCACGCATATAAGGTAAGCGGGGCGTTTTGTACCCGCCTTGGGCCTAGGCCCGCCTAGGCGGCGCCTTTTAAGGCCTTTTAGAACACTGCCTATATCTATCCAAATTGAGATTAGGTCATTATTTCTAACACAAACATTTGACAACTAACATTTTGTTATTAAATAAATAATGACAAAACTAAGACTTGAATCCTCTCATTAGACAAAAGTAAGACTATTTTTCGTACATCACAAAAAAGAGACTGTACTAAAGTGTCTAATTAAAATACCCTCAAAATTATACTGTCGCCCAATTCCTTTTCTAGCTTCCGTCTACGCAACGAGTGACCTTCGCCACATCTGAAACTTCACAGCAATGGATCCTGATTCCTGAGAGAACATTTGGCGTCCATTGATCTCCAACGCCACAAGCACCTCCATCGCAGTCTTCTTCGCTCTATCTATCTTCTTCACGCGACGAGAGATAAATGTTGAAGATGGAGTCTTGTTCAGAGTTTCAGAACTGATACCCGACCGGGTCAGATGAAGGACCCGACCGGGTATGTTGAAGCAGAGACCTGGGGACTTTCTGGAATGTGAGACCCGACCGGGTCAGTTGATCTCCGAGCTTCTGTTTTGGAAACCCGACCTGGTTTCTACCGGGTTTGTGTTCTGTGAAGGAGACCCGACCGGGTCAAATAAGAGACCCGACCGGGTCAGACGACGGGATTTTTAATTACAGGCTTAATTTTGGGCCTACGGCTCTAATCTCAGTTTAGGTTTTCTTAAACCTATTTAAACGACTCTTATGTACTTGTAAACCTCTTGGGACGCTGATAATAATACATACTCTCTCTCGTTCGCCGTGGACTAGCACAATCAACCCGATTGTGTGAACCTCGTTAATTCTTGTGTTCTTGCTCTTAATTTATCGTTTGCTTAACCTAAATCGTAACAATAAATAGCATGCGACGGGAGATCTGGCGAGTGGTTGGGTTGCTTCCCGGTCCGGTTCTCGTAACATAGAGTTTCAGTCCCTCAAATAGTACGCATATTGAAATGTAGGATGTGTTTACAAGTTCGTAAGTGTCATCCTTCAATTGTCTAGATTGTAGTAAAAATGTGATCCTTCGAGAAGTGACATTTACAATGTGGGTGATGACCACATCTGGGGGCAGAAACAGAGCAAAAGATAATCCATCTTATTGTTACGAGTGCATATTTATCTAAACCGCATATTAAATATTCAACTCGGACATTGTTTAAAAATGATACACCATTTTCATTCTGTATATAAGTTGAGTTTTAACTCCTGAGCCTTTTTTCTGGCTCCGCCACTGACCACATCTACATGAATCCCGACAATTGAGGGTTGACATTTACACACTTAAAAATATATGGACTACATATCAATATCAACACTATTTGAAGGCTGACAATGCAATTATCCCTAAATTTAACAAGTGTATTACATATTCTATCCATGAGGATTATTCATGTCCCTCCGTTCCTGACCGAAGCACCGTCCGGCCTCCGCCTTTTGGGGCGGTTCCCAGTGGTATTTTTTGCTGAAAGTTTTTGTGAATGTTCCTCATCAAGACTAGTTTATCCATACCAAATGTCAGTAAAAATTCAATCGGGAAGACAGTCAAATGATTTTTGGAAGTTAACTGCATTTTATATGTATATAAAGTGCGCAGTTAACTTCCAAAAATCATTTGACTGCATTCCCGATTTAATTTTTAGTTAAAATTTGTTATGGATAAACTAGACTTGATGAAGAACATGTACAAAAAAATTGAGCAAAAAATACCACCGGGAACTGTCTCAAATGAAGGAGGCCGGACGACGCTGCAGAATGCAACCTACTCCACTTTTGCTTTGAGAATCATGATGTATGTGGTTATCATTATTACTCTTATTATCCTACACGGAGTAATAAATAGAAAAATGCTTGAGGTACAAAAAATGTGTACACATGTCTGTCCTTCACAGAATTTTTTGTCTATCACAGACAACTCAATATCAATTTGAGTTGTCTGTGACAGACAAAATTTTTGTGAAAGACATACATGTGTACACATTTTGTGTAAATATCACCCGCTTTCCATTTTTTATTTTTTAAAAAAGTACAAATCAAAACGACGAATAAAGTACGGAAGTGGTATGTTCTTTTGGAAGTTTCCAACACTACAAATAGCGACTCTTGTCACGACATCAATCATTTAATAATATGCTCCAGTAATGACTTGTTTCTTCGCCAACCAGGTATAGAGCCCGTTTGGTAGCACGAAAATCGGCTGTTTTGGCTGTTTCTGCTGAAATTTATGAAGTTCTGGCTGAAGTGGCTGTTTTGGCTGATTCTGCTGATTCTAGAAAAAAATATTTTAAAAATATATTTTATTAATAAAATAAAGAAAAAGTTACATGTAAAAATAGCTAAAGTGGTCATCTACAGTAACTTCAGCCAATACAGCCAGAAAAGTAACTTCAACCTTACTTTTTCTGCTTATTACACAATTCAGCACGCGAAAGTAAAAATTACGTGTTTGGTGAAAAAGCTGGCTGATAAGCCTGATAAGCCGAAAAAGGGGGTCTCCAAACGGGCTCATAATTTACAATGAATTAGACCCATTTTTTCAGATTTTGACTTAAATAAGCGAGTAATTCAAGGATAAAAATAAAATAGTTGTCTAATTAAATAAGAGTAAAATAAACTCATTTTTTCTAAATAGAACTCAATATTTAAAATTTTCTAAATATGATTGAAGTTACCTTTTAATCGTAAAGACTTAGATTGTAAATTTAAAGTTTAATTTCTTTACTTATGATATCTAAAAATTAGTTTATTTCTACAAAACACGGCTAAAACCATATGATTTGGATTTTAACCTCTTGAGATGAGTGAAGAATAAATTTGGGTCTCTAAAGGAGCTTAGTACGTGTTACATTTATCAATAGTTTAGAAGATTACTCTTACAGAAGAATTTATATATCTCATCCCGTCATCCGTCCAAAAGTTTGTTATATTCAAGTTTCTTAATGATATCATGTACGCAGTAAGTAGTATGATGTATCTTAAACTTTGATTTATGATATACTTTATACAAAGTTAATTATTGTAATGTCGTAATGTGAGATTGATATGCAATTTTTGTTGTTGTTGTAAAAAGTAGTCCAATAGAATGATAGAGAAATCAACTTTACATTTTCACTATAGTCAATTGATTAAAAACACGAGTAAAACACATTTGACAAACAGTTCTTGATCGATTTGTGTGTGTGTGAGTGTGTGACAGGTGTATTACATTTTATGTAAAGAGTGCAATTAGATAAGGCAAACACAACCATGCTAATCAAGCGCATTCAACATTGAGATCGACATATAAACGATAGCTCTAAAAGGAGCATTACAACTTAGAGCCCGTTTGATAATACCTAAAATTTGTGAAATTTTGTCTGAAGTGATTGGTTTGGTTGATTCTGCTGATTTATGAAAAAATTATATTTAAATTATATATTATTAATTAAATATAGAAAAAATCATATGAAAAATAGCTAAAATGATTCTCTATAGTAACTTCACCGAATACAGCCAGAACAGTAACTTCAACTTTAGTTTTTCTTATTATTACACAATTCAGCGCGCGTTACGTGTTTGGTGAAAAAAAGTTAACTGATCAATAAAGCTGATAAGCGAAAATACAGGTCACCAAATGGGCTCTTAGATCACAAATTACAATAAAAATGAAGCTTAATTAGTTTGGCAACTAAAGTATCTGTACTGCTCATTAATTAAGGATGTTCTTACTTGGCCGGAAATTTGCTTGTATAGTCTGTTTAAATATAGTCTGGTCTGGTTTGGTCTGATCTGGTTTTGTAAATATCTGGTGTCTGTGTATATTATAACTGTAGAAGTCATGTCTAGTTTGCTCTGGTCTGAATTGGTCTGGTCTGGGACTGAAAACATTCTAAGTAAAAACATCCTAAATTGATCAACTTCTGACCTTATATGCAATAAATACAAAATAAATAAATAGATTTTAATAATTATAAAAAAAAGTAGTACTTGGGATTCTACTATATATTACAGAATTGGAAAGTAGAAATAATTACATATTTATAATCAAAGACTATTTACAAAAATGTGATTAATGATTAGAGT